CAGTTGTGGTGGTCGCGGGCGTGGTAGGGGTATGCGAACGGGTGGCAGGTGTTTTAGCCCTTGAGACTGGTGTCCCATGCTGCTGGCGGGACGATCTTCCGCTGGTAGGGGTTGGTCCATATTTTAGTGCGGCGACGGGGGAGTTGGATCGCGTGGACACCGGGCTGCTTCTTCCGTGGCTCTCTGAAATACTAGCTCTTTTCACCATGACGGGGAGGCGCGAGGTGGAGGATAGGGGCGTGGTCGGTGTGGAAGGGGTGGTCCGGCCCGTGTTGGTCGCCCTGCTGCTGCTACTTGTTGTCGTTGTCGCAGTGCCACGGCCGGACCGGGTATGGCTGGTGGACAAGGGTTGTTTGGTGGACGCGTATGAGACAACGACATCGCTCTGGGCTCTAGAGTGGTTCTTTGCTACCCTAGCCAGATTATCTGTAGTAGGCAGCGCAGAGGCCGCCCCGCGGTACCAGTCAGTTGGAGACGAGGGCTCCATATCTCCCATAGTATCCGAGTGAGAGGAGCTTCGCAGGCGGGGTCCGGACATGGTGAGGTCATGTATGCTGGACGACTCGGAAGTCCGCCGGGGACGAGCCCCTTCTAGGTGGTGGCCTTGGATGCCAAACCCAGCCGTGACCGAGTCTTGTTCGTCGGGCAGGATCTCGCCAAAGAGCAGCCCATTCGATCGCGACAAGGATTGTAACGGCAATCCGGTGGTGGGGGACAGCTGCGGCAGCGACCTGGATGCCGGGCCGTTTGCGGCAGCTCCACCGTTGCTGTTGTTGTTATTATTCCGAGGCTTGCTGATTCGGTTTGCGAACGATTGGGAGTTGCGATCTGTTATTCGGTCGTCGGTCGAGAGTTGGGGTCGCGGTCGCGGTCGCGGTATACTTCTGGATCGGGATCGGTATGTTTGGGATGCGCTATTGTTGGTTGGGTCTTGTCGCGTTCGTCGTATCGATGTCGCTCTCGAAGATGTCCCTGTCGCTGTCGCGGGAGAAGTCGTCGTCGTCGTCGTCGTCGTCGTCGTCCTTGTCGTCGTCGTGGTATTCCTGGACCGTGCCGTCGAATAGGAGGCAACTCGGGCGCCAACACTGGGAGATGAACCCTTGATTTGGGAAGCGGGAGCGATGGAGGAGGAGGAGGATATGGTGGAAGTAGTCTGGTCTCTCGAGGGTCTCGGCTGTCTTCGCTGGCTTGGGAGATTGTTGTTGTGGGATGTCCCTGTTTGGTCGAACATCTTCTTGAGGTCCTTGACGCTCGGTGGGTGAGCCCCACCTTGTGTGCCATACGAATTAGCTGTTGTCAGCGCCGGCCTGGCATTGCTGCCAAGGCGATCGTCGACGGGATTCGATGCTGAGCGGAGTCCCGATCGAGCACCGCTGGGTGTTTGTGGATTAGTATGTGTACTACGGCTGCTTCCGGACATTTTGGTGGTGCCAGCAGCAGCAGCGGAAGCAGCAGCAGCAGCAGCAGGCAAGGCGGATGGCTTTAGGGCCCCATTCGAAGGTGACCCTGGAGAGGTGGATGGGGGAAGCGTTTGTTGTTGTTGCTGTTGCTGTTGGACTGAGGTAGGTGCCAAGGTACTCTTTTTGATTGGATCCGCAGTCCTGCTTGTTACGACGGCGGCATCACTTGTTCCAAAGCTACGATAATAGTCGTCTGGTTGCAGGTTTAGCGACTCGGAAACTCGCGGATTGGCGGCAAAAGCCTGGAGATGATGGGCGGCGGCGGCATGGGAAGCAAATGGAAACCTTTGGCTGAGGCTGTGGGCAGAGGCAGACGGACTGGTGGCCAGGGGACTTTGCGCTGGACTTGTTAGTCGAGGGCTGGCCAAGGGACTTGTTAGTCGACTCGCTGAATAGTTGGTATAACTGGCTGACGGGCTGGCCAAGTGACTGGGTCGGGCCTCAAAGTCTAATGCGGGCGCGGGCGCAGGCGCAGACGGATGCGTGGGACTGGAGTGTTCGGGGAAGTATGAGCCGTGGTCCTGTTGGTGGAAATCACGGCGGCGTGGTGGTGGTGATGGTGGACGGGTGTGGTGGGTGTGAGTGTGGGAGTCGTGGTGGTGGTGGTGGTGGTGGTGGTGGCCGTCGTGGGGTGGTTTGGCCTCGAGGTACCGGTACAAGTCTGGGGCTCGACGGTCAAGATTGTCTAGAGAGGAATGGTAGTTGTGGTGGTGGTGATGCTTGTACTGTGACTGAGACTTTGAGCGGGTAATATGACGACGGGAACCTGAACCACCACCAAGCTCGTGGGTCAAAGTATGAAAATTAGTAGTTGAAGCAGCCTCCTCCTCCTCTTCTTGGATCCGGATGCTGCCGTGATCCATTACGTTTTGTCTCCTTTTCTTTAAGGGTAGCCCGTATGGTTATGACTTTTTGTGACTTTTTTCCGTTTCTCCTTGTGAAGATGTGGAAGGCGGTATAGTACCGTGATGGCTGCCCACTCAGCTCTGGATTCACCTCTTTGCTCTGCTCTGATGACTCCTCAATCCTACACAGTGACGAGTTTTGCACCCGTCTGCCCCCCTGTCCAGTCTTGTTCGCGGTATGGAAAACGCGGGACGGGAAAGAGCTGAGCTGAAGGAGGGGATAACCTGGGATGGGGGCGAGCTCAGTTCAGTTCTTCAGTTCTTGTTGTCGTCAGAGGAAGTGTTGATAGAGGTACGTAACAGGCGGTCGGTGTCAACGGTGCGAGGAACTGGCGGTTCCTTCCTCTCTAAAATGTCGATATCATCCCGGCCATGCACAGACACAGACACAGACACAGGCCAGGCACAGGCCAGGGGCTACTAACTGGGTACCTTTTGTGCACCAGGATGTCCTGTCTAGACTACAGCACCCTGAATACCACTTTACTTGACTTGGGGTAGCATGCCAGCCCGAGAGATAAGTGTCAGGGCATGAGGCTAGTGACGACGTGTCGATATGTACATAGGTAGATTCCTGGTTGGGATGAGTGAGTGGGATGAGATGGAGGTCTGCGAGTCAATACTGAAGGTTGAAGGTCGCGAATCTGAAGAAGAAGAAAAAAGAAGAAAAAAAACAGGAACCACCAATCTTCAATCCCGTCTCTGACCAGGGGTCGTTTGGTACAGTACCACCATGATCACCCAAGTTCCCCTCTTTCCCCTGGCGTCTGCATTCCATTCTTCCATGCTTGCAGACTTGCTCTTCCATGTTTACACACACACACACTAACAGCTATGTAACGAGATAAGACTATTGACTCGTCAATCTGGTGATACATACAAGCCATCGCAACATACGTAGGTAGGTAATTGGAGTCAATTGACCATTTCGGTATCTGGATAGAGTCATTTGTCCCTGTGCTAATGACCTTCCAGAACCCCTTCTCCCCCGTCGTCCATCAGTATAAAGTTGTACCAGTGTGGATTCTGCCAAGCACGCTACCTACAAGTAGTGCAGAGACCCCTCTGCAGTAGCAAATCTGCTTGTACACTAGTACCAACCTAGTGTAAACCCGAACCCTGGCTGACGGGCAGTTCCTCAAGTCAGTCAGCAGCAGCAGCATCATCGTCACCATGACGGCCCGATGCGAGACAAGCTGAATGCAGGTCCCATTCAGGTCAGGCCTCAAGAGGAGGTGGTGGTCAATATCGTATCGAGTGGTGATGTTGATTGATATTTGCTGATGGAGGAGGGGACAGCGTCACTTAAGGTAGGTGCAGTGGGCGTCTACCGGTCACCAACACTGTCCTGTAAAAGGCCGGCCATGGAACCCTATACTGTGCCTGCCTACTGTAGTAGTAGCAGTGTTAACTCGAAGCAGGTACCACTGCAACGTTGTGGGTGACAAAAAAGAAATGTCCGGTGTTTGGGGACCTGCGACTAAAATCCTCCGCGCGGCCGTATACGTTTGAGCATCGCAAGAATACGAAGACAGCTGCAGCAAATGGTGGGTGGGTGGAAAAGGAGAAAAGTAAAAGGAGATTGGCCTGTCTGTCTTGTCCGCTTCTCGGCCGGCAGGAACATGGAAAAAGGAGGTAAAAGACAAGCAACCAAGTGGAAGTCTCGAAACACTGTGGCGTCCCCCCCCTCGTGGCTTCCTCAATTGCGCGCATCAGCGGCAGCCATTCCCTTCATCCACTGGACTGCCCTGAGTGGAAGGAGCGGGCAGGGGAAAAGTGTTAGTGGCTGGGCTGTCGTACACGTCGCCCAATCAGACAAGTCCGGGGTATTTACCTCTCGCTACAGGTAAGTGCAGTGTGTGTGTTGCCTCATGTCCCTCACCTGCCCTTTCCCTTCTTCCGCTTGTGCCACTGCCGCACACACACAACGAAGCGGGCACTGGCAGAGGGGAGTCCGTCGGAAGCAATACGTCCGGTCTTAGGAGGTCTCTCTTGACCGTTGTGTTTCGAAATGGGAAAGAAGAGGGGAGGGACTGCATTGGACGTCGGGTGGTGGAGGTTGTCTAATGAACATACATACATATTGTACCTCTAGTGTACCTCCATCTGATAATGCGCTGCACTGTACGACTGTGTGATAGGCGCAGTTCCACTAACACTCATTCCCTCGTAAAAGCCGTGATAGTGTCTCACATGCGCACAAGGTGCCTACCATTCGTCCAATGTCCATTTTACCCCAACATTGCCCCTGGACCTGAAAAGCAATGAACTGAACCACCCATGTCTCCAATTCCATTCCCGTCGCCATCTCCAACTTTGACGCGTCACGGCACTCATCAATCACCTTTTCGCGGTCGTCGCGCCGTTTCACCAGCAACAACACAAACTGTCAATTGTTATTTCCTATCGCCTGGTGCTTTTCTTTTTTGTAAAAGCCAATTCAATCCTCCCTCCAATCACTAACCAGCTCCTTCTCCCGAGCCCTTCATAGGCTCCAGCATGGACCATCAAATTTTCCCAAACCATCACCATCATGTCGGCCAAGAGAAAGAGCGTCAGCTTCCTTGAGCTGGACTCAACCGGTACAACTTGGGGATCCAAGGCACGGCCCGAGCCACCTAGAAAACGCCCAAGACTAGTCAAAGAAACAGTCCCCAATCCCATCACCCAAGCCCTCCTGTCCATCTACTATCCCCAAACCCTCACTCTCCGCCAATACGCACTGTCCAAACTTCCCAAAACATCCAGAATTCGCCGAAAGAAGATCGCCGCACTCGGCCTGTCTTCCTCTTTCCCTTCTCCTTCCCCTGCCCCTGCCCCAGCCTCGGAGAAACCCTCCGCTGCCCAAGCACTTGAGCAAGCCCTAGGTACTCTCCTAGACACAACTCTGGTCTGCTCTCACGACCCTCCAGACATCACTTCCAAGAAAGAAAAGTCTGATTACCGCTGGGAACAATGGGTCGGCTTCTCCCAAGGCGGAGGAGGAACCAAAGGTGACGAGTCCCATGTGACCCTGTCCGATGGCTTAAAGGGGGCCATGTATTCGCAGTCCGACATAGTCGACTTTGTCATCTGGCTATTATTCTCCCGTGGTTCCCGCTCAGCATCTTTCCGAGAAAAGACAAAAACTGGGAACGGATGGCCTGGGCCGAGACATTTACTCTGTGATGGTTTCCGGAAGGGAGTCCCTCCGCAGGGTCGATCTGGGGAGATGGCAACAACTGCCGGTCATCAGCATCAGATACCCGGTGTGTATGCGGTTCATCAGAATAACTGTGTCAAGGTGCTGAAGGAGGCACCGTGGCCGCAGTTCTTAATGTTACTGGGGAAAGAAGGGGAGAGGATCATGTTGGATTTGTTGCTGGATTGTGCCGTGTTCGTAGGTGTGAAGGAGGGAAAGGGGAATTTGGTTCAAGTGAGCGGTATTCCTGTTTCGGAACTGCAGCCGCGGTCGTTGGGTACAGACTTTGCTGCCAGAAAAGACTTGAAGGGCACTGGTGGGGCCAGTGGTGAGAACCAGGAACTGAGTCCTTCGGAAATCACCTTTGCCAGAAACAGAATGTTGTACGCCAGAGCGACGTTGAATGCAAAGGGGTTGGTTCACTTTGGACTGAGGCATATTCGTAGGTTCAGCTTCCATCGTAGACATGAGGACACGCAAGCTGACTATCGTAGACGTCCTGAACCGTTTTCCGTGCCAAAAGCCAGCTGAAGGGGAAGAGGCAAGTAAACCGGATGAGAGCACAACGCATGTGATGATGTACATCTTTCCTCGCCAGTTCGGGCTTCACAATGTCTTCACCTCGGTGGTAGATCGCCAGCAGACTGCGCAAAAGTTCCAAGACTACACTCTTCGCGAAGATGAGATAGCAAAAAAGTTTCCTAAACCGACCGAGGGAGAGCGGCCCAAGGTCAAGATACCCAAGAGACTCAGGGGTAAGACGCAAGAGTTGGTTCATAAGTTGCAAGTGTTGCATAAGCGATGTTCGTGTGCTGAGATGCTGCAGTATTATTGTCCTGTGAGTCCTCTTGGTCCTCTGAGTTGAGTAAAGCAATGCTAACTCAAACAGCTTCCAAAACAACTAGAACCAGAGCAAAAGTCACAGTCAAGTCCACTCAGAATCCCAGCCCGCCCCTCAAAGTCATCCCAAAAGAACCGCAGGAATCTTCGTCCACCTTCTACCGCTGCCGTCATTACGAATTCTGATTCCCAGTCTTACTCTCTTCTGGACCTAGCCACCCCTATTTCGAGCATATCAGCTTTCTGCCAGGCTGTTCTATCGAAAATCATCCCCAACGACTTCTGGGGCTCGTCAGACTCAGAAGAGGGACATCCCCAAGAACACAACAAGTCGGTCTTCCTCAAACAAATCGACGCCTTCATCCGCCTTCGCCGCTTCGAATCCATGACCCTCCACAACCTCGTCCAAGGAATGCAACTCTCTTCCATTCCCTGGTTGGCATCTCCAGCTTTATCCTTGCACAAGTGCTCCCAGCCCGAGCTCAACAAGCGAAAAGAAATTTACCTCGAGTTTCTCTATTACACCTTTGACTCGCTCTTGATCCCTCTGATCCGGTCCAACTTTTATGTTACGGAAAGCTCGGCACATCGGTACAGGCTCTTCTTTTTCCGACATGATGTCTGGCTGTCTGTCACCAAGCCGGCCCTCACTTGTCTGAGAGTGAAAATGTTTGAGGAGGTCAAGGGCGCGGAAGCGGTGAAGATCCTGGAGGGAAGGAAGTTGGGGTTTTCCCAGGTGAGGTTGTTGCCGAAGGGGGTGGGAAGTAACCTGAGGCCGATCATGAATCTGAGGAGGAGGGTTTTGCTCAGGGCGTCAGGGAGTAAAGGCATTCGGGGAAAACAAAAGCAGATACTGGGGCCGAGTATCAACTCGATACTGGGACCGGTGAATTCCATGTTGAAGTTTGAGAAGAGGCAACGGCCGGGGAGGTTGGGAGGGGGGATGTTTGCTGTGGGGGATATCTATCAGAGGGTGAAGGGATTTCGAGCTCGGATTATGAGCGAGGAGAAGGGCGGCGGAAAGAAGAAAAAGTTTTATTTCGTCAAGGTGGACGTGCAAGCGGCCTTCGACACCATTCCACAAGAGGCAATGGTCGAGTTGCTGGAAAAGATTCCGGGACACGGGGTATACAAGGAGTCAAAACACGTCGAGGTCAGTCTTCCGTTGGATTACGAACATAACCCAGCAAACAACGACGACACCAACATCGACAACCCGAAGAACAAGCTAAAACCAACCAAACGCTGGCACTCAACCACCACGTCCTTTCCCTCAGTCACTACTACAACAACCTCAACCACTTCCCCGTCAACCTCTATCCTCCCCCAACAAGATTCAGTAGCAACAACAAAGAAAAACACCCTCTTCATCCCTTCCCACTCCTCCACCAAACTACACACCTCTTCCTCCCTCTTATCCCTCGCCAAAGAACACATCACCCAAAACCTCGTCAAGATCGGGAAGAAGTACTACCGCCAAAAGACGGGGATACCCCAGGGCTCCGTGCTCTCCAGCACGTTATGCAACTACTTTTACGCCGATCTCGAACGCTCTCAAGGGTTGGCTTTCCTGGGTTTAACCCCAGGAAAAGATGATAATGACGAGGGAAGGGGGATAAGTCGCGACGGAAATACCTTATTAATGCGTTTAATCGACGACTTCCTCCTCATCACCACCTCGCGATCCAAAGCGCGGCGGTTCGTGGAGGTGATGCATCGTGGGTTTGCAGAGTATGGCGTGAGTGTTTCTGCGCAGAAGAGTTTGGTTAATTTTGATGTTTGTGTTGATGGTACTCGAGTGTCAAATTTGAGGAGGGGAAGCACGAAGTTTCCGTATTGCGGGTTGATGATTGATACGAGGACGTTGGAGATTTGTAAGTCTGGTACTGAGACTGGTACTGGGGTGGAGAATAAGAGGGATACGGTGGTATTCAATGGGATTACGGTTGAGTACTCGAGGAATCAGGGACGGAACTTTAGGCGGAAGGTGTTGAGTGAGTTTTTTTTCTTCTTCTTCTTTTTTTTTTTTTTCCCCCTTGTCTTGTCTCTCCCCTTCCTTCTCCCCATTCAAGTAATATCGTGGGAGCACAAACAGCTAACACAGCAGCAAAAAAGACGCCTTCAAAATCCAATCCCACCTCCTCTTCTTCGACACCACGCACAACTCCTTCCGCACCACCCTCCGCAACTTGTACTCGGCCTTTATCGAAACAGCCATCAAGATGTGGGCGCACGCTCGCTGTCTTTCTTCCACCACCACCCAACGAAAACGGAAACCGGGGACGGCATTAGTCATCGGTAAGTCTCTCTTCTCTGCTCTCTCTCTCTTGTGACATTACCTTTTGGATCTCTTTCGTGTCTGTCATATCTTGGAGGTAATCATGAAAGAAAGAGGTAGCTGATATACTAGCCGGAACAGATACGATCAAGTCCCTGATTGAAGTGGCGTACCGTCTGTTGACGAGTAAATCCAGAAAGGAAAGATATCCTGGTTATCAGTGCTCTGTTAGCAAGGGGCAAGTTGCGTGGTTAGCCATGGTTGCTTGTCGACAGGTGCTGGTGAGGAAGCAAGCGGGGTATAGGGAGGTGATTAGGTGGTTGGAAGGGGAGATTGAGAAAGTGATGAGAGATACAAAGAAGAAGGAGAAGAACATGGATACGAGGGTGTTGGTTGAGGTGGCGAGGGAAGTAAGTTTCTGTTAGGCCTTGGGTCTAGTTTAGAATAGGGGGTGTACACAAAGGTTGAGTGCAAAAAGTCTTAAGAGCGATGATGTCTTTTATGTCTATAGCTTATCGATGCCGCGTCCATCTATCAATACCTTCTATCCTTATTCCTTTTTTGTTTTATTTTCCAACGCCATGCTTTCAACGCCATGCCCGAGGTTATCGATATCCAACTCTTTCATTCTTCATTCTTCATTTTTCCAGACCTTATCCCATGTCCCTTCATAACAACACACTTCCTTCCTTGTTCTTCCCCCTTTGCACATCATTTCCCATTCATCTCCCTCACATCCTAAACCCCACCTCCCACCACCTACTCCCCCTCCACAAACTAGGCACATACTCCCAATCCAACCTCCACCAATCCCACCTCCTTCCCTCACCCGGCATCCCTCCCAGCCCCAACAACCTAAACACCGAAATGGGCACTGGTTCATACAGGAATAGTCCCGATCTTGCCATATCGTCAATCAACATCCACCGAGTGTTATGCAGCCACAGTAGCACGAAAACGCCGTTTCCTGTTCTTTTCAACCACCTTGGCACTTCTTTTTCTTTTTCTTTTTCTTTTTCTTTTCTTCCACCAGTGACAGTGACAGTGACAGTGACTCGTTTGAGGACTCGTTTGACAAGGGAGATGAGAAGAGCTTGGACCAGACACCCCAAAAACTGAAAAACAAAAAAACCGACGGGTTCAGCGAAGCGAGCTAGTCTGTTTCGTTTGTCGTCGCCTGTTAGGAGATCTTCTTCCCCTTCGCCGTCGGGAGAAGGACTGATGAAACTGATGCGGAAGGCGGTGGATGAATAGCCGCCGAGGGCGTGCAGGAAGCCGCTGAGGAGGAAGGCGGTGGCCATTTGTGCTGTGGCTACCACCTTTTTGTTCTTCATTCCCTTTTCTTTCTCCCTCTTATTTTCCTTTCCTTCCTTCTTTTCCTTTTCTTCATTCTCTTTGGTGCCCGCCTCCGACTTCCCCATGCCCAAAATTCCCTGTTTAACAAGAAACCTCACCGGCCCCGTAAACCCCACCCGGAAACTCTGATGCCACCACCCGCCCCAAAACCCAGCTAACCCTCGATCCAGCACGTTCCGCACAAACCCCCCAAACAAATCAGGATACCTCCACAACTCATCCAGGATCCCCATCCCGTGGGTTTCCAGTCTTAACCACCGGCCCAAAACGAAAAATTGGGTTAATTGCCAGAGGTAGCTGTATAGAAAAAGCCCGCCTAGTACACCGCTCAAAGAAAATAAGCTTCGGAAGAAGTTGAGGCCCCAGGGCGGTAGCGACGCTAAGAAGCGTGCGCAGGCGAGGGATAAAGGTGGGAGAACCGATGGGGAGGAAGAGGAAGAGGCGACGGTGGAGAGGTAGGTTGGATGACGGAGGGGACCGTTGGGGCCGAGAATGAAGTAGGGATCGAGGCGGGCGGAGACGGTGAAGAAGTCGAGGGCGAGGTAGGACCAGATTATGTGCTGGAGACGAGAGAGGAGGAAGGAGCGGGCGGTGAGGGGGCGGTGGAAGTGTTGGTGGGATGAGAGGGGGAGGTTGGCGAAGGAGACGGGGAGGCCGGTTGGGAAGTAGGGGAGGATTTCCACATGAGAAGAAGAAGAGGAGGAGGAGGACGGGGTGGTGGATTCTGGTAAAGGGGGGATAATGGGCGGTTGGAGTGAGGGGATGGATGAGATGGAGTAGTTCCAGCCTTTGTGTGGGAGTTAGTTTTTGTAAATAAGAGAGGAATGGGAAAAGGAAAAGGAAAGGAAAGGAAAAAAACATACCAGCCCCCCGGAAGGAATTAAACATGTCCATGACCCAATCGAGTCTCTCCCAAAAGGTGCCGTTGTCCGGGTACGGCTCCCAGTAGTACTCGTACTTGTCGAGGTCGATCGTTTCGTCTACTGTCCATCTTTTTCCCTTTTCCTTGTGTTCATTTTCGCCTGGACTTTGCATCTCGGTATCGGTAGAAGCCGATGAAGCAACCTTGCCACTCCCTTTGAGGTTCCTTCGCCGCAAGTTTGCTGTATCAGGGTTGCCGTTTCCATTGCCGTTGGTTTCCGTGTTCAAATTCCCATTCACAATCCCATTCTTCAGCTCCCCTTCCACCCCCTCCTCCTGTCCATTCACCCTTCCTGTCCTCACCCTCCTCCTCACCCTCATCGCCACACCCTGATACCCCCCAAACACCACCGTCTCCAACCCCCAAATCGTTCCCCACCCACCCATCAACCCAGCCGCATACGACAAAGCCGTACAAGCGCTTGCCGTTGTTGTTCCCGGCGTGAACCATCCCTGTCCTCCCTCCGTCGACCCAAGTCCCAGCCCTCCAAAACCAGGCAACCCAACCACCACCCCCAAGTTCCACCAAACGATAACCGCACCAACGACCCATCGCAGCCGATGGACCCATTCTCTTCGGACCCTTACTTGTTGCCTCTCCCCGTTGGCTCCTCCGGTGGTTGTAGTGACGACGGAGTACTGCGGGATGCAAAGAAACGCAATGGGTAAGAGAAAGGCGCCGACGAGGCAAAAGGGAATGAGGAACGGTTGGACTTTGTTGGGGGTGTCGTAAAGGGCGTGGTAGAAGATGGAGCGGTAGGTGGTTAGGTAGTGGGCTGCGAGGTTGATTGGGGCGTCTGGTGGTGGTGGTGGTGATGGTGTTGATGTGAGGGTTGAGGTGAGGGGTGACATCTTGTCATGTCATGTCGTGTCGTGTCCCCTGCTGTATCTGTATCTGTATAGGTAGGTAGCTGCAGGCAGGTAGGCAGGTAGGTAGGCCTCCAACGGAACGGGACGAACGGCGGAAGTAGGGGTGTGTTGCGTTGCGTTGCGTTGCGTGCGGTTACGGTAGGTAGGTTGAGTTGGGGTACGTTGCGTTGCGTTGCAGCGGCGGGCGGGCCGTCAATGGGACAGGCAGGACTTTTGCAGTAGATACCTCTCTCTAGGTATGTAGTTAGGGAATAGAAGATGTTATTGGGGTTCGTGAGCGATGTAAAAGATGAAGAGAGTGAGAACAGAAGTTGTTTGTGAGGTGAGTGATGATTTTCACTCAAAATCCAACAAGAACAAAAAAAAAGCAAAATTATTTTTCGTTGGACTTCTTCCGTCACTAGTCTAACCCGTTCGTTCACCACCAACAACAAGCGACCGACGTCTCTTGTCTCAGGTTCAAAACAGGATAAGAGAATGCAACAAGAAGAAGAAGTAAAAGCAGAAATTTGCAAAACGAAAGTCCGAGAGAAGAAAGAAAAATACAAAAGTAGCGCAAACATATGGAAGAAAAAGAAAAAAAGAAAAAGAAAAGAAAAAAAAAAAAGACAAATCAAGGAAAGAGATAATGTCTCACAGCTGAACACCTACGTCTAAGCCCTAGTGTAGTGTAGAATAATCAATGGTGTCACCGCCGCCGCCGCCGCCGCCGCGTGATCATCACCACCCACCCGGACGTGCCCGTTCGGATGGACGTGTCGATCATCGAGTGCATACCAAGGTAACCGGACAATAAACTGCCTGGTTAGTAGTGCCGGGCTTCACAGCAAAAGGAGCCGCCGCTGGGCTGCTGCCCGTGGACGCCACCTACCTACCTCTACCTACTTACTGTACCTACCTACTCGGGAAACCTGTAATGCCTACCTACTCTACTATACCTACCTAAGGTACCTATTCCCCTAATTTGGGCAAGATCGAGTATGGACCTACCTAGGTGTGAGGATGGACCCCCGCTGATGGCTCCAAGGCACGGGGACCAGGGCACCTACCTCTACTGCACTGCACGGTACCTTGAGGTTACATACCTCTAGGTGCCCTAAACTCCACAGCGGTTACTACCTCTATAGAGCCCGAGCCGCTATCATCATTGAAAGAGGTTAGGTTCTAGGCTCGGGGGCGAGTCAGGGCCATCATACCCCTAGCCCCTATACACTAAATGGGGAGGGTGATCGGGCGATCCTGGGAGCAATTCTTAGTGTACCCCGGGCGGGCCGTGCTGGATCTTCGATTGAGACCCAACTACAGATCGGATTCAATAGTCGTCGCTACCAGATCAGATCGGATGAACCAGATCGGTGGGGGATTGCTTTCTCTTCGGTTTTGCTTTTTGTGTAATGTAGTGTAGATGAGTAAAATAGAGGTTCATTGGACGGGTGATTAGTACCTAGTACCAACACCAAGTATGTGTTTCATTTCTTTAGTTCGGAGTTCGGAGTAGGTGTACTAAGGATCTCAACTTGACCCAAACATCATAGTAACTCCTACCACTTTCACGAACCCACTCAACTCTTATAGGTAATCAGTCCAGACAACCGCGCCTTTTCTTCGTGAGAGCGATATAATAGCCAGAAAAGCGAGAAAAGCCACTCAGACAACACAACAACAGCAACGCCTACAAAGCCATATCCATACCCAAAGCATACACCACCCACACACAGACACATTGATAGTAATCAACCAACAAGCAGAGACAAACAACCAGACAAACAAGACTAAGACCTCCCCCTCCTCTCCGCCTCATACAACTCCCTCTTCAAATCCATAAACAAGTCTTCAATCTCGTACACCTCTTGCCGAGACAGGCCGCCTGCTGCCGTTGCGGTGCGCAGTTCGTTTAGACTGGCGCGGAGGGACGAGAGGATTCTTTCCTTGCTGCTGCTTTCCTTGCTGCTGCTGTTGTTGTTTGCCAAAGAAGCTTCCAGTTGCTGAACGGGTTCCTCGCCAGGTTGATTTTGTTGTTGTTGTTGTTGCTGCTGCTGCTGCTGAAGATTTTCGTCTGGGTGATGATTTCCGCCAGGTGGTGGTGGTGGTGGTGCTAGTGCGCTGGTAATAACATCCTCCGTCAGCTTCTCTCTCACCCGTTTCTGCTGTATCATGTCTTCTTCGACTTCTTCTTCTTCTTGCAACCCCGTGTTCGTGTGGTTGTTTCCCACCTCTGGTTTCTTCCGTCGCCGCTGCTGTTGTTGCTGTTGCTGTGCCGACGTTAACGGTTGATCATCATCATCATCCTTCACATCAACATCCATGTGCTCATCCTCCTGCTGTTGTGAAAGAACCGTATCCTCCACCAAGACTTCACTTCCACTTCCGCTTCTCCCACTAGCTGGTACAGCCATAAACGGCGAACTAGGAATCAAGTCCTCCTCCTCTTCCAAGTAGTGTTTCAAACCATGTTCCACCTGAGACATAGATAGCGACTGTCTCTCATCTGCGCTCCTAGACTCGATTTCTATTTGCGATTGGACGAGATCTTCGCCATCGGAGGATACCTCCTCCATCTCTGAAACCTGTCCTTGTTGAGCCCCTTGGGACTCCCCAGTCTGCTCACCCGCATCACCCGCATCCCTTGGCACCGACGCAGGTGTAGACAACTGCGACGTTTGCTGAGGGAGGAGGGAAGAAGGCACGGTGCGCTGGGTCCCACTACCGCCAGGGACAATACCCCTAGCTCGCTCATTAAGAACCGAGTTAGACACTACCGAAGAGGCACGGCTGGATGGTATTTGAGACAACGACGGCGACTGGGAGGAGGATGCGACAGAGATAGGGAGACGGTCATAAAAGATAGGTTCAGATTTAGGAGGGACTGCAGTAACATGACCGTTAGCATGTGGCGTTCCTAAAGATGACACTAAAAAGAACTTACCTTCTTGGCTCTGACTCCTAGGAACCTGAACCTCTGCCTCTCTTTCAACAGGCGCAGTGGAAGAAGGACGTCCAATCCTCCTCTTCTTTCCAGTTCCAGGAGCCGTAGCAGCAGCAGCAGTCTCCGAAGCCCCAGAAGCCACCCTCTTCCTCTTCCCCTTCCCGGCCGTTGCTCGTACGCTCGTCGGACCTTTAAGTTTCGACTTCCCCTTTTCTTGTGTTGTCGCCTGCTGCTGTTGCGCCTGTGAACTCGGAATTTGCTCTACAGAACGGTTCGAAGCCACAGAGCTAGCCCGCGATCTCGTCACCCGTCCTCGAGGCGCCACCGGCTTTGGAACCTGAACATTCTCGCTTTCCTCCTCCACCATGTTATCGTCATCCAATGCAACGATGCACGAAGCGGCAGGGGAGGGAGCAGCTGACGTGGGACCAGAACCAGGCTTGTTAGAACCAGAACTGGGCTTGAGGTTCGCTGCTGTGAGAGCCAGCTTCTCGGGCGAAACGGAGGGAGATGGACGGGTGTACTCCTGTCTATCGAGCTTCCCCGAGTCGAGCTCAACCACGAGTTTGAGAAGAGATCGGTCATCCCATTCGCCGCCGTCGTAAGATGGGGCACCTGATGGGGTGGGCGCGGGTGCAACCGTTGTGGCAGCGGGAGCAATGGTGGGTGTAGTTGCAAAGGCGGGAGTAGGTGCCGGAGCCGGCGCGGCCTTCTTGACCGGGTCTGTGTTGGCCTGGATGGTAGGTTTAGCCGAGAATTTACCTACCTTATGTGGCGTCGGCGGCAACGGGCTACTAGGCGCATCCACAAACTCCTCCAGCTCATGGTCCGACTTCTCCGGCGTTTCCTGGCGTGGCACACCCAGATGACCCCCCTTAGCCGGCTCCATAGTCGGAAGAGCTTGATTCTCCTGGTCGGGCAGCACACTCTCTTCAATAATATCATCATCCTCCTCCATCAAATCCTGCTCAGGCGCTTCTTCCGGTGCAAGAGACGACTCAACCGCAGCATTGACAGCATCCAAAGCCACAGCCAAACTCGACGGCACCGGCGCAAACGGCTGCTGGCGCAACGGCGATCCAGAGATGGGAGATGAAGACAGCTGCCAATCATCCAGCAAGCTCGTGTTCGCCGATCTGGACCTTATCTCGGCGGCGAGCGGGTTCCTCCTTGGTTCCATTATCGGCGGCGACGAGGGCGGGTCCATCATGTCCATGTCCTGGTCGACAATCGCTGTCAACGCCTGGCCACGACGGGGTGTAGGCGTCCCGCTGACGAACTCGGTGAATCTGCCTCCTGGGTTTCTGGGAGTTCCAGCTTGAGGGGTCTGAGCACCTGAAGGGGAAGCCTCGCGTGAGCGAGCGGCGAGACGCGCTGAGCTTCGGGTTCGTGTAGCTGGGGAGGAACGAAGTTCGGGGAAGAGCGCAGCGTTTTCCTTTTGGCGCTCACGGACCTCTTTTTGGCGCTCAGTGAGGAGTTGGGACTCCATTTCCTCATGGATGAGGTGTAGTTGAGGGGAGGAGTCAACCGCCGCGAATTGGATTTGGGAGTCATCGTGCCGAAGACGTGGTGCCCCCGCTTTGGGACGGAGGTTGAAGCCAGAGCTCTTGACTTCGGGAGTGGCGCTGGCACGTCGCTTGGTTGGGGACCTGCGCTTAACAGGATCCGGCGTCTTGACTGGTGAGTTGGTGCGTGAGGCGCTTCTTGTGGTGCGTCTTGAGGATGGTGGTGGTAGTCTAGGCAAGCTGAACTCCTCCTTTGACTCGACAAAGATGGGTTCGTGGGAGGGATACTCAAGGCTAGAAAGCTCTAGACCGGGCGTGACCAGGTCGGCATATGGTCGGAGTTTGGCAAGCACTTCCTTGAGCTCATCAGGGTAGTCTAGCTTCTCAGCCTTGCCATACAGTCTGTTCCAAAGGGATACAGCCGAGTTGACAATGTATCGATGAGAGGAACCGAGAGTGGCACAGAAGATGCGCGTGAGTGAATCCAGCTGCTGCTCAGGGCGTTCAGTTGCCGATAGATGACCGCATACCTTGTCCCAGAGTGTGTTTGTCTATCTGATGTTAGTCTATGCTTTCCCAGTATACTCGACACGGATTACTCACCACAGCCACAATGGCGTCCAACTGGCTGCCAAGAAGTCTATTAGGGTCTTGAAGCCAAGGGAGGAAGCCATCTTGAAGGATTGACATTGTCCTGAAGATGAGTTGTTGGTTACACCTATCGAAAAAGCCTACTAATTCTTGCAGAAGGCAGATGATAAGTTCGGCATTATCCGAATCAAATTGCTTGTAGAGCCGTGTCAAAGCCTCATTGACAGCCCTGTACAAGTTGTCAAACGTGTCGAAAGTGGCTGAGCGCGAACCAGCTAGGGCCGTTCCCCAAAGCCGTCTTCGAGCTGCGTCAACGGCTTGCTTGTCGCGTGGCTGACTCGCAATCGACAACAACTCGGCGACATTTCGGACCCCGTTAAAGAAAGCAATCATGGGTCCCGGGGTAGTAAGTTGATCCAGTGCCACTTTAGCTAGAGGTTCGATGACAATAATGGCGACACCAGGTTCTCCAGCTTCTGATCTGACCCTCTGGTGAACAGCATTAAATAGTGACTCCCAGTGCTCAGGAGGCAGGTTAGGAGTCGACCTAATTCCACGCTCGAGAACCTTGACGATATCACGGTAATCGTGGCCTATGGGCGTATCACCGGAGCCAGTTGAGTGGTTGCTACTGTGATCAAGTTGGAGCCATCCCTCAAGCGCCCTCGCAACAAACAGCCACATTCCATATGGGCGTGGTGTCTCCATGGGAATCAAAGTGAGCAAATCCAGGGCAATTTCCATCTTTCCTTTCTCACTCTTTGCCTCGGTAAAGTGTTCAAAGACGGAAGTGAAGAAGACTTCAAAGGTGTGGTCGTCAGGGATGCCAGAAGGAACCCCAGACAGCATAGAAAACAGATTATGCATAGGCGACTTTTGGCCGGCCTGGGCCTTGCCTAGCTTCTCTGTAAAAGGGGGGAGGCCAAGTGAAGTTATCATGATCTCCACATACCCCTTTGTAGCGCGAAGGAAATCCACTGCCGAGGCGGCATCTCCAGGTTGCACACCCTTTTGCCAGATCTTTTGCAGAACAGACAATGCTTCTGTTATAAACAAGCCTGTGTCTTTGGAGACCTTAATCTCTTTAGATGCGGCAGAGGCGATCGACCCCACAAGAGAGGCCCAGAGCCAGTAGACTGCGCTCTTCTTGTTGGAAAGTGCATTAAAATCATCGGCGAGGATGGGCTCAATGGCAGCCAGAATCATGACAGCGTTCTTTCGAACCCATTTCGCGTCAATGGCGGGAACCTCTTCGGGTCTTGCGAGGGGTTCGTCCATTACTCGATCCACACTCCATCGCCTGGCTGTGGTGCAGTTGAAGAGACCGCTGAGAATGACACTTGCTTGCCCATGAGTCTCCTGGGGTTTCTTAGTTGGGGATGCGGTTACTGGTTTTGAATGGTCCGGACTGGACACAAGGGCGGTAATGATGGGCTGGACGCCAGCTGTCCAGTATCCATCTAGCAAAGCTGCATTTGTATTGGGCTTAAACAGATAGTACCAGAGATTGCACACATCACCCAAGACAGCTGCCCTGAGTTGTCCTTCCGAGGCCTTTGCACTGTTCTTTCTTCGGAGCTGACTAGTCAAAGGGGTGATGATGGTTTTGAGGGAAGCCTCAAAGGACGGCTCTACGGCATTTGTCAAGTAGACCAGACGGGCCCAGGCATGGTGGGCGGCAATCTTGGTAGGGTAATCGATGTTGTTGAAGCAATTCTGGACCAGTTGCAGCCAATGCGCTGTACGGTCCCACACCCTCAGACGGATGCGTAGTAGCAGGATAACAACACTCCAGATGTGGGGGACCGAGGCGGATACGGTCTTGTCCTTGACCATGGCTTTCAGCCTCTCCTCGTAGTACTCGATGTATTTCTTTTCTTTGGCGACCGAGTTGAATATCTCCATTGTCTTGCGCGAAAGCTGGACCTCATGACCGATGGTGAAAGCAGCGTTGAGGCCCAGGGTGACGGCTTTCTCGCGGATATCCTTTATTGTGCTGAGCATGTCTGTGAAAAGATCGTATAGCCAGTCCGAGTGGAGAACCATGGTCTTTCCCGTTTGATTGACCAGTTTCTGGTATATCATGACCCGGTACATGATGATGCTCTTTCCCTTGATGTTCTCCTCGATATTGTGTAGCGACGTGACCAGTCTGCCGACTCGCTCAGGGGTCATAACCTTGGCAGAGAAGTTCTGTACCAAGACGACCTGCATCAAATGTCGAGCAGTATCTTTCGGGGTCGAGTTATCTTGGAAGGAGCGGATACAGTGGTCGATGAGGAAGGATCCGAAGTCGGTCGTCATGGTCGAGGCAATGGCAGGGAGGCCGAGAAAGGTGACGATGAGCTTGAGAGCATGCTGAACAAGCGAAGAGTCGAGGGTACCCTGAGGGGTCCTGGCGACAAGATCTCGTTGCATGAACTGCATGAACAGGCCCATTTTCTCTTGTAAGGCCACCCTGTCTGGCAAGTTGTTGGAGATCTTGAAGGCGCGCGTCAACATCATATAGGAATCGAGCTTGGAGTCGCGGTCGCCGCCGGCAAGCTGCTTCAGGGTTGACTCCAACATGGTTGCGACCGAGATGTTTGGGTTCGAGGGATCAGACGGATTGCCGTTGGCTTCCTCGAGGGGGTTCGGGACGTGGTGGGTGATTTTGAGGATGGACTTGACAGGCTTGGAAGCGCTTCTCGGGAGGGAGACGGGGGTCGGCTGCTGTCTCTTGTCGCCGTCGATGAAGACTGGGGGGTCTTTGTATTCTGCCTTTGCCGAGAAGCCAACTCGTTTGGTGCTTCGTTTCGAGGTTGATTTGCTGTCGAGACCTGAGCCGGGCGAGTCTAGGGCAGGCGGGGTATGGACGGCCCTGAGGTTGTTGTCAAGCTCGATGGGGGCCAGTACATTTCGTGGGATTGTCGCTGGAGGGGCATTATGTGGTTCTCTCTTTGGTGGAGTAGGCGGTCGTGGTGGTAGAGATTCGAGGCTATTCGTGTTATTGGACATGATCTGGATGGAAAGCCGGTTGTCGTAGTGACGGGGGGGAATGACAGCCGTGTATAGGTCCAGCCTAGGATGGCATGTAAGACAGGGACAACGCCGGTGCTTTCGAGTGGGAGAGCTACACTAGATGGTGGAGGCTCTTTCGTCGCTCATCACAGCAAAGGGAGCCAAAGTGTGGAACTGGAAGGAGAAGTAGGAAGGTAGAGAATGACTTGGTTGAAGACGTCAAGTCAAAGTCAACAGACAAGCAACACTCAGCCAGCGCCAGTTCACCGACAGTGCGTAGGTAGTACTTGTTGGAGAAAAAGGAACGTGGGTGGTGATTTCTTGGTCGCCGTCGTTGTGCGATTCCAAGGCGACGAAAAGAGTAGAGAAATGACTTGTGGAAATGGTGATGTCCAGTCTGTCTCCCTCCGATCTCCTCTCCTCTTCACGTTGTTCAGGCTACAGAGGCTACAGGGCGGGCGGTGACGATTGTGCCGCCGTGGGTGATGCCAATCCGCTGATAAACTAAAAGGATTTAACGCGGTCGCGACTGTGACATGGACGGATGCAGATCGCGTCTTGCAGCCACTAATTTACAGGGGTTTCGCGCCAAGTCTCCATTCCACTTTAAGGGTCCCGTCTCCCCACAGCCTTCCTTCTTTAGCTGAGTCTAGAGGTGTTGGCATAAGCGTTTAGATCTGATGTGCCCTACTGGATTATCAAGCCAAAACGTCGCACTTTGGTCTGAGGGTATCATCAGACACGGAAGAGAAGTTGTGTCTCGTGTTACTTACGAGATTTTGTCTTTTCCAGGGCTGGAAATGGAGGAACTGAAGAGCTAGATCAGTATCGTTAGGCTGAGATGTGTTGTATAAGGAGAATCACCAGATATAAGCAGCTCAAGCTAACAGCTGCTAGCACCCCGCCTTTGATCCCCTGTTGGCAAGCTGGGTCAACTCAATTGTTAGTGCACGGGGATCAGAACAAAACATTCTCTGACAAGAGGTTGAAGTTCATCAGACTTGAACTTGATTGAAGATTCGGACAAACACACTAATTAATGAATTATCAAATACACATGGCCCATTGGACCAGACTTGGTCTGAAAACTGCTCCTCAACTTGGAATTAAACATCCAATCTGGAAGGTGGGGTAACTATTGTTATTAATCTTTACTTATTACTTGCACAGTACAGTGTTCACCGTCTTCGGTCATCCTGACAAGTCAGTCTTCATCCACTTTCTGTCCGCTTCTCTACGTACCCATCAACCACCACCACTTTGCCCTAATCTCGATATATCTCACCCTTTCTCTATCAGGATTTCACTTCATACCGTGGTAAACTAAAAAAAAAACAGAGTCAAATTGTCACTCAGTCCTTTGACTGTACCAAGCACATCACCATGTCCTCAATAGGAGTTTCTGGCCCAGGTCAGTTATCAGTTCTTCATTCACCTTGGACATCCATAAACTAACACCCATCTAGCCAAGTTGCAAGCTGTCACCACCCTTGTCAACAAACTGACCGAGGACCTCAAGAGCCAAAGTCTCTCGCCAGAAGAACGAGACAAGGCCCTGGAGGAACTCAAGGTGTACGGCCGAGACCCTAGAAATGCCGACCCCATCTTCACCAAGCAAGGCATTGAGACGCTCACAAAACATGCCTTCGACTCGCCGTCAGAAACCACCTCTCGGAATGCCCTCCGTGTGCTCTGCAACGCCATGCTCCTCATACCCGAAACACGACAGCGCTTCGTTGACCTAGGCTATGAGTCCAAGGCCTGTGAAAAGCTCAAGAACGACAACTGGGACGACGAATTTCTGGCCACCCGAGTCATCTTCTTCAGCACCTATGGCACTACTGTTGACCTTACCAAGCTCATTGATGAGCATCACCTGGCTGAGAGCATGGTTGCGAACCTTGCCCGCCACGCCTCCAGAATCTCCGAGCATGCCAAGAACAAGACCAAGCCAGACCCTATGGAACTCATGGCCCTGGGAGAGACACTACGTCTCCTGTTTAATGTCACCAGCAAATGTCCATCCAAGGTGGACTGTTTCACAGCCGCGGTTCCGCATATAGTGACCCTTCTTCTCAGCTTGGATATCCCACCAAAGGGATCACCGCCCCTCGAGTCTCCCCTCGGTCCTCTGGTCAATGCGCTCATGAACCTCAAGCTCAATTCCGAGGAAGCACGGTCATGCCTCTACCCCAAGGACGCACCCTCCAGTCTCGCCGAAAAGCTCATCACCCTTCTCGATCTCTCCCTCAAAGCCTACTCAGACCAGGAACTCGACGCAACCGTCACCCCTCTAGCCTGCATCATCTCCTCCATCTACGAGAATGCCCCAGCCGACTCCCCCGTCCGTGACTTCATCCGCAAGAGCCTACTCCCCTCTGAAGAGGAGCGTACCAAGGTTCTCGGCAAGGGCGACACCCTCCCTGCCAGGCTGCTAGCTAACATGACCAACCCCATCGCTCCCGAGTTTGCCAGAGCTGTGTCCCACCTTCTGTTCAACGTGTCGGACAAGGACGCAAACAAGTTTGTTGAAAACATCGGATACGGTTATGCTTCTGGCTTCCTGTTCCAGAACAACATCCCGGTTCCCGAAGGGCTGGGTGGCGATGCCGAGAAGGGCGAAAGTTCCCAGGCTGGTCAAAGCAGCAGGAGGGCGGTCAACCCCATTACTGGCCAATTCTTGGATACCGAGACGTTCCCGGATATGCCTGAGATGACCATGGAGGAGAAGGAGCGTGAGGCTGAGAGACTGTTTGTCTTGTTTGAGAGGTAAGTGACTGCATTATTCCAGTCAACTCGGAAAACCGAAAGCTGACCCTTTTTCTCTTCACAGAGCGAGGAAGCTGGGAATCGTTAATGTTGAGAACCCTGTTGCCAAGGCGGTTCAGGAGGGTCGGTTCGAAGAGTTGCCCGACGACTACGAAGAGGATTCGGACTGAGCAAAGGGCCCGACGTTTCTTTTTGTTGCAAGTCTACCTGGAAAACCTCGACACAGACTGACAACCTAGAACTCACCACGCTAGTCTATCGTTGCTATTGTAATGCTAATCAATATCACCCGGTTTTAATCCCGACGAAAAAGAGCTGACGACGCTGATGCTGGTGAGGATGACGACGCGGATCACACATCATTCGAGCCTCCTCCACTAACTAATGCATCCATGTTGTCGATCCTCGTGGAACGATATCAGCTCTTCAGGGGCGCATGATTCGCTTTGCCCGGAGTGTACTCCGCTACAGTGAGATGACAGGGCTGACAATGTGTTATCCTTCACCGCATGTCCGCGTACCGGAGACTGCGGCACTGCTTCCTCACACTGCATCACCATCACATCACCACCCACCTGTCATCGACCAGTGATGATGCCCTTGATGGCTCAAAAGGCCTTCCTCCGCGGAGGTATACGACTCCCAACTACGACGGCAAGTTCTGTCTCAGTTCAAAAGGTGTGATCACCAATAGTGGGACGGTGATTGCAGGGAGTACCCAGATTCGTACACTGTGAAAGGGGACAATCAGTATATGTACAGCATCAGACATTCAGAAAATCTCGTCCATTTCCAACGGGCATCTCGACATGGTAAAACCAGGAACCTGAGTCAAAACCACAAAAGGAGGTCTTGGTCTCTTTTTTTTCCGCTGACCAATTTCTTCATTGTTTATCTTTTGCTCCCCTTCCAGACTCCCATTCCAAGAAGCTCCTTTAACATTGCCGAGACAAATGAACTTGCCGGTTCCCTATCAGTCCGACAAAGTTGGCGATGATCTTCAACACACCGTGGATATGTTCACAAATCCAAGTGTCTTGGTCCTGTGTCAGTGTAGGTTAAGGTAAGTGGACGGGATCCGAGCCGAACAGGGGTTGTCTAAGGAACCATCAGGGGGCTACTGATCCGCTGAGATGGCCGTTAGTGCGGGGGCCGGTGTGCTCTACTATCTGCACCAAGTCTTTAATCGCTATTCCCGCCCAGGTCGTGCCAAGCGTCATTCTAATTCCCTGGGTTTTCAGTCGGACAACGGGAGGCTTGTAGGAAGATGGTCAACTAAATAATAGTAAAGACATGGGACCTACCATCGTTCCCTTCCCCTGGACACCAACCAATACAACTTTACACGTGTAGACGAAACACCAGGCATATCAACCCCATCGACCACCATACCTATACCCATCAATAACCTTCCCGTCGTTCTCCCACTTTTCCGGATCTGCCTACTTTCTTCACCGAGCAACCGTGTACTCAAAAATTCGATTTGAGAAACACCCGTGACACTGTACTATCAACACAGCCGAGCTATCTACTGACCAGTGTTGTTGAGTGGCGATTCAACAGCGTCTTTACATCCAAAGCCACTCGATCTGTGTTGAAGCCATCACCCACTATCGATCGGCCATGGCCAGTCCCATTGGAAATCTCATTCATCCGCCGGACCCTCCATACCGGCAAGGATCGGGCCAAGCTCCCGGTATAGACTCGATTCTCCACAGTCGTCAACCACATCCGGGTCCGAGTCCGATCCACCACCTCAGTCCCATCGGTAACCGGCCCGGAGTTGGATCTGGCTTGTCTCTTGCTCCACTATCCTTTCCTGGTCCTTCTCATCCCATTCCGCCGCCGTCACATCTTCCATCGCAAGCCCATCGACCATCACTGCCGTCACCGGTCCATAATCCTCCTCTTCCACCACCGTTGTCGAGGAGTCACTCCAACACACAGTCACTTTATCAGTGTGCCGACTGTTTACGTAGGTTCCGATTCCCGCTTTTGTATTTGGCATATCTAACAATAACAAGGACGGTATTCTCGGCCTGAACACTTACAGGTATGTTCATCACCGATATAGTCAAAGTATCACAACAATGTAGCTAACCGAAGCGTAGAGACATATAGCGACCCATACTCTCGGGAAGCGTTTCATTTGCGATGTAAGTTTGCTGTCACGGCTGATTCTTGAAACTGGGGCTAAAACTGTCCTAGATATGCTCAAAAGCCTTTGCCCGAGCTGATCTCCTAAAGCGTCACCGCACCAACCACCAAGATGACAATGGAGCTAAAAGGAGACGCATGAATTCCTCGCCTGGTGCTGGACGCGTGACTCATGCGTGTCAGGCTTGTGCGAAGGCGAGAGTGAAGTGTGAAGAAGCGAAGCCGTGCGTACCTACAACTGAAAGAGATTAGGTGAACGACTGCTGACAACACCCAGATGTACACGATGTAAAAATCGAGGGATAAGCTGCGAATATGGCTCCTCCGAAGACGCAGCTCTGCATCTCCTTCATCTATCCGCCCACGATAGGGCTGAGGGTTATGACCATGAGGATAGACAAGCTTCCTACTACCCACGACCTTCGATTTCCGAGCCTCATGGGTCTGGCTTCCACACACATTACCCTTCGGAACCAGTTGAGCACAGTCCCATGCTCACCGAAAGCGAGGAATCCCATATACCGACTCCCGAAACGATGATGGACCAGACTCAGACCGCCAACCCAAACCCAGAACAAGCCTTTCAAGTCCAAGCAACCTATCCCCACAACAACACAAGTAACATGCTCGACGACATGGCCAAACTCCCCTTTTCCGACTTTCTTCGGGACGTCTTGTACGACCAATCGCTCTCCCAGGCTCAGGGGCTGGCAGTTCTTGACTTTTGCGATGACTCCAGTCTTGACCTGAATGCCATGGACTTTGGGCTTTTGGATTACTGGTTACACGACGAGCCTTTTATTCCGCTTCCCTCTTCTGATCCAGCCCAGCTCGGTCCAAGCTCAGGCCCAAATCCGTCGACGACTTCCACAGCAGAAACAGGTCAAACGAGTTCTTCAGATCCCGTGAACATATCCGCCATGCGACCAAAACTAGCTCAGATATGGACCGACTCTCCCTGGCGCTGGACCCCCCAGCGAACGGATAACGTCTACGCCGAACAATCACACTTGCCTCTCTCAACGTCTGGATCCTCCTCGCCCTCGTTCTCTCCCAAATCGGCACTCAAACGCAAGTCATCCGATCTTTTTCCTTCACGACCAACCGACAACAACAATAAAGCAACCCAACAGCAGCAAAACTCCGGCTCCCAGGGGCAGCAGCAACTAATAACCCTCAAACAGCACACTCTTCACTCCTCGGGCCGCGACCTAATCCTCTCCATAGTCCTCTCCATCTGCAAATCCAACTCGTCCCAGTTCTCCAGGGTTGCCTCTTCGTTTCCTTCTTCGGGGTCCATCAACCATTGGATCCACATCTTCTTGGCTTCGCATTCATGTTCCGTGTCGAGTTTTATACCTTGTCATTTGCCTCCTCCTCCTTCTTCTTCTTCCTCTTCTGGTTCTGGCTCCGGCTCAAAGGACCACTCCACCTCCGCTCTCCACTGGTCTCTCAACGCCCAACCCCCCGAATGGCTCGCCATAACCGCCGCCTGCGGTGCCGTCCTCGCGCCCGTGCCTGCCCTCCGCAAATTCGGCTTCGCCCTGCAAGAAGCCGTCCGCGTCTCGATCCCCGGCCGCTTCGAAGAAAACAACTCCAAAGTGTCCGACCTCGGGCTCGTCCAAGCCCTCGTCCTGACGCAGGACCTCGGCGTCTGGTCCGGCAACCGGCGCAAGATGGAGATTGCCGAATGCCACCTGACGGTCCCCGTCGCCATGATGCGCGGCCGAGGCAAATTCACCCGCGGCGCTTACCTCCCCGCCATCGTAGTGACGGAAGCCGACGAAGGCAAGGAGCTCGAAGATAAATGGAAGCGGTGGATGGACATGGAATCCTGGAAACGACTAGCGTTCCATGCGTACCTGCGCGACGCGCAAGTGAGCATGACGCAGCTGAACAATCCCAGCATCAGCTACGCGGAGATGCGCATGCCGTTACCGGGCCCGAAAGAATGTTGGTTCGCGCGCACCAAGGAAGAGTGGAAGTCTCGGTGGTTAGCTGCCGCTGCCGCTGCCTCCTCCTCCTCCTCCTCCACCATGGACGAACAAGTCCCGTGCCTCGGCGACTTACTTCGGGACGTGACCCTCTTGGTCCGCCATCACCATAGACTAGACGTCCAGTTCGCTATCAGCATCTACTTGCATGGCTTCTGGTCGCTGATCTGGGAATACCGCCAGCTGGCATCGATCCATCGTCCACTATTCGGACAACCGTCGTCTTCTTCCTCATCCACCTACACCTCCACGTCCCCATTCAACAACCCCAATGCGACAACCACGCAATCCCTCCTCATCTCTCGACTCGCCGACCTCCGCAATACCTTGCACCAATTCCACGCTTTAGTCTCCCCCCCTTCTTCTCCGTTGTATTCACACACAACCCCCAATGAACTCCTCCTCCTCCATCTTTTACTCATGCACATCCACGTGTCATTAGAAGACTTGCAGCTCTTTTCGGGAAAAGAAGGCGAAGAGCAAGCCAAAAGGATTTATCCCGTGCTGCAGCGGTGGGCGGATAGTAGCGAGGCGCGACAGGCGCTGTGGCATGCGGGGCAGGTACTCAGGTTCGCGAGGGAGTTTCCGAAAGGGCAGTTGAGAGAGTTTTGGGCGGCCGCGGTGCATTTGGGCGGGTTGGCTGTTTGGGGGTGGGGGGTGTTGCAGACTGCGAGGGGGGGTGTTAATTCTAAGGATGCTGCTAGGGAGTCAAAGGGGGGGAAGGAGAAGGACAAGGAGAAGGAGAGGGAGAGGGAGAAGGGGCATCATGAGGGACCGGCAAGTCATCATCACCAAATGTCAAGCTACATCCAACAAGTGATGACGCCTACCACCACCACCTCCACCTCATCCACCCCAGGACTCACCACGCACCATCAAGTACTAGTAACACTCAACGGCCCTCACACCCCCTCCCTCGACGCCTTCATCCACCACAACCAAGGCCGTCCCGCTCTTTCTTTCACTTCCTCCCCTTCTTCTTCTTCTTCTTCTTCTTCTTCTTCCAAGGACGGTACTTCTTCCAAGGACGGCACTTCTTCTTCCAAGGATGGTACGCATGGTCAGCATGGTGGTGGTGGTGGTGGTGATGCAGTCCCACTAGACGACATAGCAACCTGCATGGCCATCTGCCAAGCGATTCTCAGAGATAACTTCCCCGCTCCTGCCGCCTCCGCTTCTGCTTCTTCTTCTTCTTCTGCTTCTGCTTCTTCTTTACCCAATGGAGGTGGAAGTTGTGCTTCTTCTTCGCTCCTCCCGGCTATAAGCGAGAATATTGTAGCGCTGTTGGGGAAGTTGGGGGGTGTTGCGGGGGTTGTTGGTGGTGGTCATAATGGTGGTGGTCATAGTAATGGTGGTAAATAATAATGGTGGTGGTGGTGGTGGTGGTTCAGGTTCGAGGGGTGGTTGAGTTTTGAGTCTGGTCATGTGTTGTAGGTATATTGTAAGCAGACAGGTACAAAGACGGACAGATGGATAGATGGTTGGATCATCGTGGCATGTGACAGGCGTTGAGATATTCCGGGCATCTGGGATATTGGGTTATAGCATAGTATAGCATAGCGGGAGTTACTTGCTGGATCAATGTTAGCGCTGCATTTCTTCTGCATAACTGAGAAACGATATCAAAAGTAGGTAAAACCAATGTGGTGAAAATGTTGGCTATATTGATTAAGCCTCTCTCAGTCACTGCCATCACTCTTCACGTCCTCCACTCCAATACGTGAGCTCTTGTCCAGCTACTATTGTCATTGCCGTCTGTCTGTCTGTCTATCTATCCAGCAAAACTGGCCGCCTCCACAGCTACAAGACTATCTCATCTTCTGCCACATATTCATCGTCATCACTTATCATCATTCATGTACATCCTCCGTTCCCCCCCTTAATCCAATTACCACTCCCATCCCCTTGTCTTGATGTTATAACCTCCCCTTCATCCCTTCTCTACTAGCCCGCTCAGACCTCAGCACCCGCACCCACGCATCCTCAATTCAATTCTGCTTCCCGCCCAAAACAATCGTCTGCGCCCCCTCAAACGCATCCCCCGGCTCCAACACCTGCCACGTAGCCACCGCCCCCGGTTCCACGCACAACATGTTCTTGTACCCGTCCTTGGGCTCAAAGTCCGCCATACCCTTTGCCTTTTCAATCCAGGGGTTCCAAACCACCACGTTGGCAAGGTTGTCCCGGAGGACAGTGTACTTGGGTTGATCACCCTCGAAAACGGTGATGGGGATGGACGCGGGGTCGTCGCCGGCGGGGGTGTAGACGCGGTCAGTCTCGGAGGAGATGGTTAGCGCCGAGGTGGTTTGCTTGTTGGTGGAGATGGGGGAGGTGGTCTTGTCGACGTAGGAGGCGTTTTCGAGGCCGTGGATGGAGACGGAGGTGATGTCCTGGTTTTTTTTGTCCGTTAGTTCATGGAAGGAGGGGAGAGAAAGGGGGACATACGTTAACTCTGAGATACGTATGCATCAACATCTGACACTCCCAACTCCTCTCGTCGTCATTGGTAATCACCAAGTTGGTCGTCAGACTATCCGTGTTGAGCGTCACGCTGTAAATCGCATTAAACGCATACGGCCACTTTGCCCTGGCATCCTCGCTCAAGCCCGAAGAGCTCAGTCCAAAGTCCAACTTAACAGACAAATCCGCCGCCGCCGCCGCCACCGCTCCGGCAGCGCTGGTGGCCGTCGCAGCAAAGGCCGGGGTGGTGGGAGTGGGCGTCGATTCCGAAGTGGACTTGCCCAGGAACTCCCACCGCGACGAGCGGGCGAAGCCGTGCTGGGGGAGATCCTTGGTCTGAGCGTGGTCGGGGGCTGTTCCGAAGACCTGTTATTTCCGTTTCTCGTCAGCATTATGTCCTCTGTCCTTCCTTCCTTTGAAATGAATAGATAAGGGCGGCGGACAACATACCGGAAAAACCAAGGGAATACCGCCCCTCACAGGCTTACTCCCATCCAACTTGGCCGCCTCGCTCAGCCACAGCTTCTCATCGCCGTTCTTGTCCTTCCAGCTGACGACGGTGGCGCCGTACAGCAGGACCGAGACGCTCTCGCCGGTGGGAAGAGTGGCGGTCACACGAGAGTTGTCCGCAGAGAAGGCGACTTGGGGTTGCGGGGGGAGGCCGGGGGTGGAGGCTAGGGCGGAGGGCTTACGGCCACGGTCGACCATTGTTGCGGTTGGTATGGGTTGTTTGGGTTGTTGGTCGGGGTGAGTTGTTGGGGTTGGCGATGGACGTCGAAGGTGTTGAAACGATGATGAGGAAGCGGGAGTGGAAGAGGGGTAACGAGGTCGGACAAACAAAACGAAATGACAAACTCGCTACGCAAGTAAAGATAAATAAGCTATAAGTCTGCTGAGAAGCTCTAAGCAAAAGCTTGGTCAGTTCAAGTCGGATGTTTCAAGTTGATCGGACGGAAAATCAAAAAGAGGGGAAGCTCTGGAAGCTGGAACCCTTCTGGTACAAAGAAGAGGGGCAAACTACAAATACTACTCACTCTACCTGAGACGCGGGATCAAGACAGCCCAATGACAGAGTGCTAGTGTAAGATTGAAGAAATGGGAGACAAGCTCGTTGGAGGTTGGGATGAAGAAGCCAATGATACAGGACAGCGGGGTAAATGATCCCCCTTCTCTCACCAGGAGCTGTATCGGACGACAGTAGCTTGTTACATGACCTGAAACATGCCCTGTGCAGTGACCAACCGACCAAAGCTGTGCTGGAGCCCGACGGACGGTGTACGTCACTGTGCTCACGATACGTCACCTTGACTACCCTGTAGTACTTTTCATGGGCCTCGAGTTTCCAACAGCCTGCGTTGACAATGGAAATCAATACTTGTACACTTAAAGATGAATCCAATGTTCGATACAGAAAGGCGCTATTACACTTTTGAATTTTGAGAAACCTTGTTCATATCACAACGACCGCTTGCCTCCTCATAGACCGTTTTATCATCCCTTTTGGGACTTTTTCCTCCCTCTTTTTCCATGACCCGTAAAATTCACCGCCTATGGCCGATTCGCTTTTCATCACAAAAACTATCCGTCCTTTTATCATACAATAGCTACATCGCGACCATGGGCCATCTCCCGTCGTGGCTCATCAGCCGTTCCCAGCTTTGACCTGTCATGAAAGAGTTTCCGAAGCAGCAGTCCCGCCACATCCAAAACCACTACCTGCCCTAGATGTAATAGCAGCCTCATTGGTAGTCGCATCCTATTTTGTATTTGCTGCCCCATTCGTTGTAGCAGCCCCAATAGTTGTAGCAGTTCCTCCACTAGTAGGAGCACTCCCGTTCGCACCAGTAGCCTCAGTAGCCTTTTCACCTGCCAGCTCCTCCACATCCTCAAGCAAGCAGCCCTCTAGACCACCGAGGCCTTTCTCCTTTCAGCCTCCTTCTCCTTCCTCTCCTGCCTATAATGATCCGCCACCAAGAACGCCAGCTCCAGCGCCTGCTTCTCGTTCAACCGCGGATCGCAGAAGCTCGTATAGTTAGTACTCAAGTCATCCTCATCCAGTCCTGCACCACCTCCCAAGCACTCCGTCACCGCGTCACCCGTCAATTCCAGATGCATGCCGCCCAGGTACGACTTCTGTTCCTTGTGGATACGTAGTGTCTGCTGAAGTTCCGAGAAGATGTCGCTGAACTTGCGCGTCTTGATGCCGCCGCTAACCGATTGTGTGTTGCCGTGCATGGGATCGCACTGCCAGACCACGGTGCGGGCGTACTCTGAGCTTTCGACTGTGCGGATGTGCGCAGGCAGGAGAGAGGCCACCTTGTCGGCGCCGTAGCGCGTGATGAGCGTAACCTTGCCGGGTTCGCGGTTGGGGTTCAGTGTGCGCAGCATGGGAAGCAAGTCCGAAGTAGGTGTCGAGGGACCAATCTTGACGCCAATGGGGTTGGCGATGCCACGGAAATATTCGACGTGCGCGTGGTCGATTTGGCGCGTGCGGTCGCCGATCCACAAGAAGTGAGCCGACGTGTTGTAGTATTCTTTCTTGGGGGGAGTGGTAGAGTCGGGAGGGTAGGAGCGGACCGAAGGGTGGTTGAGCAAGCGGGTGAGCGGTTCCTCGTACTCGAGAAGGAGACCCTCGTGCGAGGTGAAGAGCTCGACGGTCGACAGCTTCTCGTTTTGGTCGGCGCCGATGGTGTGCATGAAGCGCAACATTTCCTGAATACGGTCGACGGTTTCCTGGTACTTGGATTTAAGAGCCGGGTCGCGCACGTGGCCGAGGCCCCAGTCGAGGGGACCGTGAAGGTCGGCGATGCCGGAACCGATGGCGCCGCGGATGTAGTTGAGTGTGGCTGACGAGTACTGGTAGGCGCGCACGAGACGGTTGGGATCCAGCTCACGCTCGTCGGGGTGGAAGCCGTTGAGGATGTCGCCACGGAAGGAGGGCACTTCCTTGCCGTTGATGGTCTCGACGGGCGATGAGCGAGGCTTCGCGTACTGGCCGGCCATGCGACCGATGCGCACAACGGGCTTGTCGGCGCCCCAGAGGAGGACAAGCGACATCTGTAAAAGAAGCTTGATCTTGGACTCGATCACGTCTTGCTGGCAGTAGCTAAAGAGTTCGGCGCAGTCGCCGCCCTGAAGGAGGAAGGCCTTGCCTTGGGCGACATCGCGAAGGTGTTCCCGGAGGCGGATGATCTCGTTGGGGAGGACGATGGGCGGGAGGGTCTTGAGCTCGTTAGTGGCCTTTTCAAGGGCGGCCTTGTCGGGGTACTCGGGGCATTGCTTGATGGGCTTGGATCTCCACGAGTCGGGTGTCCATCCGGGGGCGTTTGGTGTCGTTTGTTGGCTCATGGTGACGACGGATTTGAAGATGGTGAAGTTGGTGTGTAAGTGGGTGGAAATTTCGAGGCCAAAGTGGCGCTTGTGATGTCTTGGCAGTAGTATTCAAACAGCGAGTGACTAAGAATGAACAGGTGGGTCAATATCCAAAAGTGAAGTCTTAAACGACGACGACTGTTATGGTGGTCTTTTCTCAGAAAAGAAAGTGGTAAAGAATGGTGTGTAGTTGCTAGTAGTCATGACTGGACTTCAAAGAAGACGGAAGATCCTATTCAAATATCTTTTCGGCTTGTCGGGGGAGTGGTGAGTCAGTGGCAAGTGCACCACACGGTGTTTGTTCAAAGTGTCAAAACCGTCCCTCTCAAGTTTGGAGTCCTTGGGAAAGTCAATTGACCAATGATAACAGCGTTAGAAAGAACCCCAAAATGTGTCCCACTGTGAGGTGACGCTGTGGTGCCTGCCCCGCCCCCACATCTCCATGGTCGCGACGGGAACTCAACTGTTCTACAGCGAAGTGCAGCAGTGACACTACAGCAGCCAGCTCCTGTTTCAAGCTTTAGCAACCTACGTCTGTCCGACTTTTGTCTCCTCTTCCACCGACACAGCCAATTTTAGTTTCAACTTTCAAAAATGGCCGAGGACAAACAACCACCTGCCGTCGTCGAGGGCGCCACTGGCGGTGACGTCGAGGAAGAGGTCCAACCAACCGCCAAGTCCGCCGAGGACCGCAAGGCCGCCGCTGCTTTGTCCAGTCTTGACTCCAACCGCGAAGACGAGTCCTCCGCCCAGGTCGACCAGGATGCCGTCAAGAACGCTTTCCACTCTCTCAGCACTGCCGGTAGCAAGCAGGCCGAGGTGAAGAAGGTCAAGGTCGATGCGGCCGATGTCTCCCTTCTTGTGAGTGTCTTTAGTAATCGTCGTTAGGAACAGCTTACTGACGGAGTATGAACAGGTCGAGGAGCTCGAGCTCACCAAGGCCAAGGCTACCGAGTTGCTCAAGGCCCACGATGGCGACGCCGTCAAGGCCATCAATGCCTATGTTGCTGCGCCCGCGGCTTAAATGGCGATACACCCCAATTAGAGAACAAACAACGGACCATATGAAGCCGATTTACAGTCTGAGGACCCCATAACCGCCATCGATCTATCTGTATACTTGAGCTATACGCGACATACTATACCACATGCTTCCAGCAATGACGACAGCGAAAACATAATTGTGACAGAGGATGAGCATGCATAGGCCCGGTTGGGAAAGGGAGTTTGGGGCAGGGCGCGATGGATTAGACAAAAAGGGCAGCCCCATCATATATCGACTGAATCGGCAGCGATGTTGGGCATGAAAGTTCTTTTTGGTTGCTTGACGTGGACGTAAACGCGCGGCCGGTTGCTGGAATAGAGTTGGTATAAAGTTATCGACCTTCCGCATCTGTTCTAGCGCTTACACGTCCCGTCTCCAGGGCAGAGCAAAGGTACATTTGAATCCTCCCATACAATTCTTTCATGGTAGAGTCATCATGTATGATACTCACAAAGAGAAACTGTTGGTTACCGAGAAGGGCCTTATGAATGCTTCATGTCGTAGATAAGCCTCTGGTCGGTGTTGTTTTCCCCGTGGTGGTTAGTCTCTCCCGTCATCTCTACTCAAGCAGAGAGTGAATCTGGTTCACTTCAATTGCAACCATCAAGACATAAGACGGAACCCAAAGACAATACAACCTTGATATCATTCCGGGTTCCGTTAAGCCGCAACCAACAAACCGCTATCGAATCCTATACCGCGCCAGCGCACCGCAACCCCAGCAAGTATTGCGCGTCCTTTGCGCGTTCCGGCCCAGCATCACGTACTCTTACCAATACAACATCAATCCATCAGCCCTATGATGTGAAACCCCTTATCATTTGTTTACCTTGACTCACATAAGGTTTAACCTTTTACCAACCATCCCTCCACATTCTCTTGACACTTCATTTCACTTCAGATTTTCATATCCTTATTTCATCATCACTCTTCTTCCACCTTCTCCATCCCTTGACCTGGTCGGCTTCAACTTTGTCTCCTAGTTCATCCCACTATTCACTTCCAACTCCCTTGTCCATCAGGGGCACTCATCACCAAACCCACCACCATGGACCCCTCAGAAGACACCGACACCAACACCCCAACCGAAACAACAACCCTCCTTCCCCAAGATGCCCCCTTTTCCCCCTCCCCGGACCAAAACCCCTCTTCATCCGCACTATGGCCAACCCTCCTAACAGTCGCCTCCCTCACCCTCCTCTTCACCATGGGCGTACAAATCACCACCGCGCCCTCGCTCGCCATTCTCCAGGGGATCATCTGCAAAAAGTACTATGAGAAGGGAATTACCGACTCTTTGGGAAGAGGGGGGCTGCCGACCAACTTTGAAGATGATGATAGGTGTAAAGTTGGGCCGGTGCAGAGTGAGGTTGCCGAGGTGAATGCTTGGAAGGATGTGTTTGAGATATTACCTGGTGGGTTTGATTTGTTTTTTTTTTTGGTTTTTTTTTTTTTTTTCTTTCTTTTTTTTTTTATTATGGTAGGGGTGGTGGTGGTGGTGTTAGGATAAATGGGGAGGAGGGAATGGGAAACGGGGGGAAGAGAGAGAAAGTAAAAAG